CCACAACCAGTAACCACAAATTATCAGAACCATTCGGAAGCATGGACTATAATAAAGCAGCAGCCAACAATGTAAGAAGACGCAAAGGGGGTATCACAGTTCACTAGAGTTGTATCTTGTATCATTTCATGTGACATAATAAATGATTGAATGACTGATATAAGTGAGAGGAAAGAAATGCAGCAAATCCTTAACAATCAGGAAGATGGGATAAGGTGATGTCTGACAGTTTTGCTTGATAAATGACTTTGAAAAATGATAAACAAAACTAACCGAGGATCAAAATAGTTGCCACTTCCTTTTTTCTGTTGAATGACTGATCAATCTGCAGACTACTCATCTCGGCTGTAATTAAACTGGCGCCATATCTAGTCCTTAATTGGTGTTAATTATCAGTCCTTTAAGTAATAACATAATCTCATACATTGAAAATGCATGTGTATTAAGGGCAAAGTGACGCTCCATCCCACAGGCATATGACAGTCTGACAGCAGATGGCTCTTGAAAGGAGGTCGCAGAATGACAGAGAATTTGGACTCACAACAAGTCTATTTAAATTGGCTTGCGGACAAAGAAACATGACAGCCTTGAATTAATGGAGACAGACCTATGGTATGAACTCCAGTAACAACATCAGTTAACACAGAACTTCTTGGCAGAGAATTTTAAGCTGTTTCTTCTAAAGATCTAGTCGGTGATTGAGTTGGATGTCGAAGTGCTCCACCCTCTCTTCATGAGAATTGTTACCAGACCGATGGGAAAAGAGACAACGATATCTGCAATTCTGCCATCCAATCAAGGCTGCATATCCCCCTCCAGAAACTGTTGACATAATCTTCATATACACTGGAAACGTGAGACGATAAATATCATGGCTCAGAGTGCAGCTGTCTGGGATGTAAAGCAGCTCACTGAAAGACATATCAGTGTTTTACTCACTGAATGTGCAGCACTACAGCCAGCCAGTCTACTGCATGATGAAGCCTATATTCACCTCACCATAAAAGCAATCAACCTTTCAGAGACTTGTTCGCACTTCCACGTACCAAGAACTAAGAAAACGGATACTATTGCTCACACATCCTCTCTCTAATTTTTTCTCTCTCTTTTAATGCAGTGTAAAAGGAGAAAGGTTAAAGTAATAATCCGTCACACTTATACCTAATTATCCTCATTTTGTTGCTATGCAACAGGCAAAACACAAGATTAGGCATATGACTCGGCCATGAAACCCTTAACAAGGGCTTTTCTGGGAAACATCCTTTGTCAAACAGCAATTAATATGTTTTTCCCTGCTGCCGCCAGCAACAGCAGCAACAACAAGGTAAAGGTAGGAGCATGGACAGATTACTGAATAGGTCTACTGGGGCAGGACCCAGGGGCCAAAAATGTCAAGGTCCCCTGTCCTTCATAAAATGTTACTTAAATTAACACATACCATCCACAATGAGATGCAGCTACAAAGAAACACAAAGAGACTCACAACTTCTATGAAGAGGGGTAAACAACCACAAAGAGACACAAAACAACTACAAAGAAACTCAAAAAGACAACAAAGAAACACAAAATGACTACAAAGAGACACACAGGAAGTACAAAGATACTCAAGGCAACTACAAAGAGATGCAAAACCATTACAAAACAGTGTGAAACAACCACAAAGAGACTCAAAACAACCACAAAGAGACACAAAACAACCACAAAGAGACTAAAAATAACCACAAAGAGACACACAACAACCACAAAGAGACACAATATAACCACATAGAGGCACAAAACAAACACGAAAACAACTTCAAGGAGACTTAAAATAACCACAGAGACACAAAACAACTACAAATAGACACAAAACAACTACAAAGAAACTCAAAATAACCACAGAGACACAAAACAACTACAAAGAAACTCAAAATAACCACAAAGAGACACAAAACAACTACAAGGAGACTTAAAATAACCACAGAGACACAAAACAACTACAAAGAGACACAAAATAACATCAAAGAGACACCAAACAACTACAAAGAAACTCAAAATATCCACAAAGAGAAACAAAACAACTTCAAGGAGACTCAAAATAACCAAAGAGACACAAAACAACCACAAAGAGACACAAAACAGCTACAAAGAAATGCAAAATAACCACAAAGAGAAACAAAACAACTTCAAGGAGACTGAAAATAACCACAAAGAGACACAAAACAACTACAAAGAAACGCAAAATAACCACAAAGAGAAACAAAACAACTTCAAGGAGACTTAAAATAACCACAGAGACACAAAATAACTACAAAGAGACACAAAATAACCACAGAGACACAAAACAACTACAAAGAAACACAAAATAACCACAGAGACACAAAACAACTACAAAGAGACTCAAAATAACCACAAGGAGACAGAAAATCACAAGAAAGAGACACAAAGCAAATTAAAAGAGACTCAAAATGTCCACAAAGAGACTTGCAGCAACAAGAGACACAAAATGACTACAAGATAAGGGCAAACAACCACAGGCACAAAACAAATACAAAGAGACTCAAAACACCACAAGGAGACTCAAGGCAACTATAAAGAGATGCAAAACAACTATAAAAAAGTGTGAAACAACCACAGGCACAAAACAACTACAAACAGGCTCAAATGACAACAAAGAAACACAAAATGACTGCAAAGAGACACAAAACAACTACAAAGAAACTCAAAATGACAACAAAGAAACTTAAAATGACAACAAAGATACTCAAAATGACAACAAAGAGACACAAAACAACTTCAAAGAAACTCAAAATGACAACAAAGAGACACAAAACAACCACAAAGAGACTCAAAATAACCACAAAGAGACACAAAACAACTACAGAATCAAAACTACTACAAGGAGACATAAAATCACTAGGAAGAGACACAAAGCAACTACAAAGAGACTCAAAATATCCACAAAGAGACTCACAGCAACTACAAAGAGATGCAAAACAACTACAAGATAAGAGCAAACAACTACAGAGACTCAAAATGTCCACAAGAGATGCAAAACAACAACAGAAAGGGGCTAAAAACTATAAAGTCTTTATGTCTCTTTCTTATGTAGAAGAGGTGGTGGAGCCTTCTGCATGTCTTTGCTCAGGGGCCCGTTGTCTCACAATCTGCCCATAGTTGGTAGTTAGCCTGAGCAGTGACAGCCACCATGGCTAATTAGACATAAAAGAGTACCCCAGTTAAAAAAGCTAACTTTCTCAGTATAAAATGACCCTGAGGAAAGGATGTCACAGTGCTTCCCATTGTTTGAGACAGACGTTATGGCTATGTCTCTTCAAAAATGTGAACACATAGATGCTGCGGATAACTGCTTTAACCCTTGAGCTGCTTTGACCAAACACCTTCCTTCTAGTTAACACCAACATCATTAGCTATTACAGCAATCTGAAAATGAATTAATGAACTTTTGAGGTTTTGTCTCTTAGCAGTAATTTTGTGTGTGATCATTTTGTGTCTCTTTGAAGTCTTCTTTGGTCGCTCTGTGACTTTTTGGGGTCATTCTGAGTCTCATGTTCATTTGCGTGACATGAGGGCCCCTGTCACTCTCCATGCCTGAGACGACAATAAATCCAGCAGCCTGGCCTTGACCCAGTAATAGTAGTGAGGTAGTACATGTGAGATCGGTGTGTGTGAGTTTGTTTGAGTGTGTGTACATCAGAGGAAGAGAAGAGACTGAAACTTGACCCCGCTGTCACTTGCATCTGGACAGCAGGAGAAACGGATGAGTCAGAAAGCGCAGTTTGCTGCTGAAGCTGCCGTTCCGTCCCTCCCTGCACCAACCTGGCATGCCCTGCGTACAACCTGAGCTTAACCTGCGCACAACATCAGCACTTTGCACCCTGCAGCCCACATGTGTGTCAGCAACCGATTGTGACAAAACACAAAAGAAACACATCAGACTGCCAGGACAGCTGCCATCACAGATATAAATACATCACCAACTTGCACATGCGCTGTCATGAGTGTTCTGTAAATGCACCTCTGGAGGGCTTTGCAGCAAACTGGCAATTTTCCATTGCGTCCTTGCTCACGTGTCTTGTCACTTAACCTGTCACCATGGAGATGAGCTCAGCTTCTCTGTGTCTCGTGCTGTAGTGCATACACTGCAGCACACAGCAGCAGCAGAGGCGGGCGCAGCTGACTCTGTCGCGCCTCACATGCAATCACATCACTAAAGCATCACTTGTGCGATAAAAGCACGGAAGCCCTGAATGCGTTGCTCCTGTATGACAACCACCACTAATGTGTTTTACTGTGGAACTGTGGGGATGGCAGTGAGGTGATCCCTAAATGCATCTCAAGGTGAGCTTTGCCTTACTGAGACAGCATGGGGAGTGTTACACTCGCTGTGGATAAAAAGTTAGCAGCAGCACGTAAAGTGTAGTAAGTGGGAACTGAAGGGGATCACTGGTGGAGATGCAGAGTGCAACACAGGTGAGGGGTCACTGCAACCTCCATTTACCATGCATAGGGAGCATGTCCAAAATAACCAGCTACATACATTTTGCATAATCTGACACAATTGTTACATTTCCTTAAGGACACAAGACAGAAAATAAAAGCTTCTTTTTAATTTTTTTTTTTTTTTTTTTTAAACTTACCTTTAATCATTCCTCTGGGCTATATCTTCTATGACAAATTATTTTTGGCATGTAGACAAGTATAGTCATGTGATCCAAGGTTTATGGAGCCAGACAGCTGGCTTGTGGTGTATAATTACTTACATTATGGCAACTATAATCCAATAAGTAGTGTATGAATGAAAAGGGAGAGACACATTCCATCTTCTCCTGACTCCTATATTGTAGGACTACAAAACTAGTAAATATTAATTATGAAATTCTTGACACCTAAAGAGGGATCCCTCATATAAGAGAAAAACTTCACCAGTTTCCCACATGTATTAGTCTCACTGGTGACATGAAGGTCAGCACACATTAAAGATCAGTAATTTTCCTTACTGTTAAATTTGGGACTTCCTTTGTGCTCACTCGGAGGAAGGTCCGCGAACTGCACCCGGTGCCCCGACATTGTCCGATCACCACCTCTCAGGTTAGAGCCACGCGACCGCCGACTGTGTTCTCTGTTCTCCGGGTTTGTTTCAAAGTATCCGGTAACTTCCGAGCGCGGCGGCTGAGCTGCGTCGAGGTGACCGCGTCCCCGTGCGTTCTGCGCGTGGGAATCATTCACAAACACACTCCACACCGGCGGGGAGCGTCTGTCATTGACTTTCTCTCTGCTCCCTGTGTGCCTCTGTGCTGACTGTGTGCCAGTACTGCGGTGGAAGCAGCCCGCTCGGTCCAACTCTCACCTGCCCTCTGCTCTGTACACTAACACTTAATGGTCCATACGGGACGCACTGGAGCACAGAGAGGCACTATCTCTCCTCCCGCATTCAGAAAGATAAAAACTTTTTTTTTTTTTTTTACCTCTAATATCCACATGACTGCAGGGTTACGTCATCACTGTAAAGCTTTCAGGGGAAAAGATACATAATAAAGTTTAAGAAGGAAGCTCATGTTTCATTAATATCAGAGCCTGTTAGACAACATGGGAAATACGTTTTCCAGCTGGCTAAATCAGGAAGTTGAAATAAAGTTTACTGTTTTTAATTAGTTGGCCAACTACAAAATAATGAATTAAAACTTTTAAAAACAGTATTCCACATTTCCTCCCATTATCCATATCTAAAAACATTTCATATTTTTAAAACCAGGGCTCTGTGGAGCCCATTTCCTCAGTGCAGTAGGTCTCATAACCCCACATTGTAATCTGTTTGGACAGGGACACAAATTCTTCCTATAATAAAGTAACTTTGTCACAGTGTATATGGGAGGCTACAATGCCACCTAATGGAAGAAAAATGCAACGCCATCATATAGAGTCAGGAAGGAGGTGGATAATACCAGCCAACAATATTATGTAATTTTGCACAGCTGCTGTACAAACTACTGTGTCATAAATGACACATGCATGTTTCAGAAGTTAACCAAGGAGCTGAATCACTTCCTCTCTGGCAAAATCTCAAAGAATGGGATATTGTATAAACTGATGATCACTGTTTTACTCAGCCACTGTAACACAAATTATGGGCGTATTCATTATTTAGAATTCTATTTTTTTCTTGTAGTGTTTGTTTTTTCTCTCACAAACCTTTTTATCATTTGTTGAGCTGTATTTTATAACATACACCACCATTCAAAAGTTTGGAATCGCCTGCCAAAGAAGTTTGATTTGGCACAGTCAGATATCTGAGAGGACTGCTTTGTATTCTTTTTTTTAATTGTCTTTCCTTATTTTAGGTTGTAGAAAGTCCTCTTTGCTAATAGATTTTATTTTGCATTAGGGGTTTGCAAAAGAAGTAATGTTTTGTGGGGAACAAAAATGCTGACCAACCACACTGACATTTGAAAGGGCAGAAAGAGACAAAGATACTGAGGAAAAAGACTCTGTAGTCGAAATGCGTTGGTTTATCCATGTATTAATAAAAGATTTTTAACTACAGTCAGAGTGCCTCGGATGCATTTTTGGACTGCCTGCCTGTACCATGGACTTCTAGACTATGTGAGCTGGCCAATCATTGTTTTTTATCTTTAAGTGAGAAAGATACCTCTGAGCATCAATTTATTAAGAATATAACAAATCTACAGTCATTGGTAGAAGAAGCTAGAAGCTTAGCATCAAAATATGTGCAGATTTAAACAGGAGCAGGATCCTGTTTCAGTGTCAAGTGTGCAATAATGACTATAGGTTAGTCTATGGTTACCTCTGTTAGATCAAGGAATATCAGCTGAACATACTATTGACTTGCAAATGATGGTTTACACCTATTCAATCTAACCACTGGGAGGACTGCAGAGGGCCCAAAGGAAAATGGCATCCCACAATAATTAGAGCTCACTTGAACCGGTCACTTACACTTTTCTGGACTGGAAAGCAAATTCAAAATTTAAGGTTATTTTTTAGGGAAAATGACTAAAACAGGGGCACCCATAAGCTCAGCGGGTGCTTTATGTACAAAGGCTGTCTCCCTGCCACAGTGGCCACGGGCATGACTCCAACCTATTAAATAAAGGCAAAAAAGACCCCAAAACTATCTTTAAAAAAGAAAATGGTTAAAGCAGTTTCTCAAAAATGCATTTGATGTCTGAATTATAGCGTTTTATCTATATCAAAATGGCCATCATACGGCCAATATTTTCTGACAGATTAAAAAATGAGAAATAAAATATTTAAAAGGAAAACAATGGGGATATTACAACATAAATGGAAAAAATTCAGCTCTAAAAACCCACTGTACCCATTCTGCTCAGCACCAAACAGCAGAGTCAAGCTGGTGAGCCAGTTATTTCCTGTGGGAAACCAAAAACAGAGCTGAGAGAGAGAAAAAATTGGACTGATGCTGCTCTGTAACTGCTGCATGTGTAATCAAGCAGCAGCTTTCCATCAAATTCACCATACGAACTTGAGGGTGGTATGCCAGTGGCATGTTCACAGGTTGTTTTTGCTGCCTCCAAGTGGCTAAAAAAATCAGTTATTGTAAGAATACGCTATGAAGCAAACCAAACAAAATGAATCCACAAATTACGGTGACAATGCACTCTTCAGCTTTCAACATCCAAATAGCTTTGACACAACACAGGTCCCTTGTGATCTCTGCACTGAGACCACCGTCACTTAATACACTTCGTTCTTCAGCCTGACCTGAACTTGAGGCCTCGGGGTCCTGAGTTACTGCGTGTAATAAATGCCAAACATCACTTTTCACTTTAGGACAGCAGGGGGTGGAGGATGACTACTGCACACATCACTTCATCTTGCCTGCCACAGCTGCAGTTTAATAGATAGATCCTATTACAATGAACGTATGATGTTGCACCCAAGATGAGGTAGCTGTAAACAGTTTCTGTGCAAGTATGCAAGAGGCAAATAAAACAATGAGCTTAAATTAAACATGACATCACTACAAATCAGGTTTCTTCAAAGCTTTATTTTGGAACATATTGTCAAAAGCCTTAAAAGGAACTGGAATAATAGAAAATGAACACTTGAGTTTTTCTCACAGACAGAGGTCGAACTCTCTGGACTTGTCTGATCGGACTTATGTGCAAAACAGAGTAGCTATACAGGTATTAAACAGTAGCTGGTAGCTGACAAATGGCAGATGAAGTTTCTCTGTAATTGGCAATGGCCTACAAAGCGCAGACAGTATAGAAAAATAACAGGTCTGCCGATAAAAGGCAAATAAATACTCAAAGGCACTTCCATGTACAGTAACTTAAATCAGCATTAAAGAATGTCAATCATGTCAACATAACCCAAACTATCAAAAACATCAGGCTCACACACTTTCAAACACTTTCAGAATCTTCTGCCATCAATTTGGCAATGTTGGTATACAAAACAAAGTCTGTGCGCTGCACTTTCTTTCTCACACAATATAAATCTTATAAAAAAACGTTTCAAGCATGTAGAAACCGAGCAGAGTCAGTGGTTCTGCATTCTACCGTATCAGTGTACACCCCTTTATTCTCAACATCCAGTATGTCTTTCACGCAGATCCATTTTGCTCAATGTACATTTTGGACAAAGAGGCAGCCATCGACTTTGCCAGCTCCTCATCCCGTTTCCTCTGCATCTGCGAGTGTCTGCACCAGTCCTCATAGTCCGGGTTGGGAAGACACTTGTCCAGAAGGACGTCATAGTGACCGTTGCTCAGCCAGCTCAGCCAAATAGCCGCTTTGGAAGAATCCTCCTCCCCGAGATAGTGCACCATGGTGGAGACAGTGGGGCTCTCCAAGCTCCCCCCTGTTGTCAGGTGGATGTTGACATTCAGCATCTGGCTCATGGCGAGAAGCTCAGGGTAACCCGCCCAGGTACCATCCTGCGCTGCGTTGATCAGGAACTCTCCGACGTCCCCTTCGATGATGGGGTTGAACTCGTCCAGGTGGTCGGCGATGTGGTGCACTGTCAGCTCCCTCAGCTCGCCGTGCCTGGACTGGTCCCCGTACGTGGCTTTGCACACAGCTCTGTACAGACAGTTGCCATCTGGAATGATGTGATACCTGTATTTGCTCCTCTCCTGGAGATACTTGTTCTGTTTCTCCACTTCAGCCAGGTACCGGGTGACTTTATTGTTGATATCCTCTCGCTCCTGGCACCTCTGTGGAGGTGACTCCTGCAGAACACTGAGCTCGAAGGCCCCTCTCTCATCTGATGCTGGGGCCACTTTGCCACTGCTCACATCTCTAAAATTTTCCTTTATGAAGTCATCGGACAGATCTCCGGAGGGATCTAGCTCCTCTTCGTGTAATGAGGCCCATCCATTGCTTCTGATGGGGGCATTAGTCACTGAAACTGTATCATCATCGCTTGCATTTCCAACCGCCCTCTTGTTTTCCTCTGCTCTGGATCTACACATGTTGTTAGTGTTGAAAAGGTGATTTTCAACCAGCTCTGGGCAGTCAGGAAACAGCTCATCCGTGCCATTCCTCAGGTGATCTATCAGTTCCACAATCACATCAGAGTCACAGTCATCACAGAGGATTCTCTCACCATTATGGGAGTCAGGAGAGGGTGGTTTAGTCTTGGACTCCCTGATGACATGGACAGGCACAGTCCTCTCCACTCCATCAGGTCTGCGGATTAATATCTCAGCAGTGGATGTGAAGTAAACTGGCCTCATGGATGGAGCCTCGTAACATGAAAAGGCAGGCATGTTTGCGGAAGAAGCAGCGTCTCTCACCGGATCCTCGTTGGTCGTTGAAGTTGCGCCTGCTTGTGTAAATCCTGGCTTCTGGGCGTCAGAGGAACTCGGTGTTGTCCCGTTCAAGCGCTCAGATCCACTCGATAAAGTTATTGTAAGTTTGCGAGACGACCTCGGGTAGTGTGTCAGCACACTGTTGTACAACTGCATTTTGAAGGAGTCCTTTATACTGAACGCCGCAGCCGGGCTGTTACGGAAAGATGACAACGACACCTAAAAATACCCTCCATGTCATCAACAACAGCCAAGTTGTAGGGAACGTTTCCATGGTCCTTGGTACTCGTAGCTATCGTTGACACACGGAGACGCGTAGACTGTCCACTTTAGACTTCTTGCGTCATTTGCTGTTGGGGTGCCTCCCTAATTTTAGACTTCAAACTGTAACCAGACACGAGCTGCTTTATTAGTGTCAAGGCACACAGAATGAATTCGATACAACTTCCGTTTGAGGGCTTTCAAAATAAAAATCTTTATTGACAAAAGTCTTTAAAGTAAAATTGGCATTTGAGATAAGTTAAAAAATTAAGTATGGCTCAAACTCATAACATAAAATATGCATGAAATACATTACATTTGACAGTGCCTATAAAAAGGTCAATTCACCCCCTTGAATGTTACTTTTGTTGTAAGAAGCAAATTCAATGTGCTGTTTCTTGACACTGATCAACAATAATAGACCCCACAAAAGTCACCTAACTTGATAACAAAATCTAAACTTACCCTAAAATATAATACAGTAAGTTACAATACAAAGTGTGTCTGCACAAGTATTCACTCCCTTTAATTGTTTGAGTTTAATAAAGCCCACTTAAATCATCACTAGTGCAGCCTTTTGGATTTAAAAGTTGCATATTCAGTTTAGTAAAATGGAAATTGACTGTGT